TTTGAAGTTAATATTTTTAAAATTTTAAGAAAAACATATGTAAAAAATAACAATTAGTAATTAATTAGTAGTTAATGTGTTTTACAAATAGTAATTAATTATTACTTAATGTGTTTTACTAGTTCGAGGACAGGAAGGGCCAGGCTACACGCAGATCGTAATCGGCCACCGAGAGGAGAAGGGGAACATCCAACGGTTCAGCTTCAATTTGACTAACCAAAAACACACATGAGCCGTCAATTGTTTTTATGCTCTGGTTTTAGTTGAAATTTTGTGATCTATCTTGCACTAACTAATCTTCCTCTTGCTCCGTTTGGGAAGTGGGTTGACTTTTTGGCTTTTTAACTTTTTTGACTATTTTAGCCTGGGCTAAAAAGTTTGGTTTGGGAATGGCTTTTTGGCTTTTTTTTGTGAGAGAAGAGTGTAATGATTATTGATTTAATGTGATGTTTTGCTTGTTGTGGCTAAAATAGCCTATTTTGTCTTTTGTGGTTAAAATAGCCCCAAACCTCCTTGCCAAACGGAAGAGTTTTGGATTGCTATGCATTATGCTCTTGTTCTTGCTATTTGTGTTTTGATTGATCTCAAGGCTCTAAACCTAAAGTTGTAAACTGGTTTTGGAATAATAATAAAAAAAACCCAGAAGTTACACTTCTTCTAGAATTTAAATTTGGTTAATCCACCTCGGTTTCTCAATTCAATTCGTTATCCGTCTTTGATAGGGGTGAGCAGCGGATATACCGATCCGCCAAAACCGACCGAACCGAACCGATCCGCCGCATTTTGGACGGATGCGTGATGTCGAGCGGACGGTTGCGGATTGATTTTCTCAAATCCGCCAATTTGGCGGACGGATGGCGGATTTGAGATTTTTTGGCCGCAACCGAACCGCCAAACCGCCAAATCGCGAGCACCCCTAGTAATTTATAAGACTTTGTATTTTCAATTTGTTTAAATATTATGGCCACCGAGAGGAGAAGGGGAACATCCAACGGTTCAGCTTCAATTTGACTAACCAAAAACACACATGAGCCGTCAATTGTTTTTATGCTTTGGTTTTAGTTGAAATTTTGTGATCTATCTTGCACTAACTAATCTTCCTCTTGCTCCGTTTGGGAAGTGGGTTGGCTTTTTGACTTTTTAACCTTTTTGACTATTTTAGCTTGGGCTAAAAAGTTTGGTTTGGGAATGATTTTTTGGCTTTTTGGCTTTTTTGGCTTTTTTTGTGAAAGAAGAGTGTAATGATTATGGGTTGAATGTGATGTTTTGTTTGTTGTGACTAAAATAGCCTATTTTGTCTTTTGTGGCTAAAATAGCCCCAAACCTCCTTGCCAAACGGAAGAGTTTTAGATTGCTATGCATTATGCTCTTGTTCTTGCTATTTGTGTTTTGATTGATCTCAAGGCTCTAAACCTAAAGTCGTAAACTGGTTTTGGAATAATAATAAAAAAAACCCATAAGTTACACTTCTTCTAGGATTTAAATTTGGTTAATCCATCTCGGTTTCTCAATTCAATTCGTTATCTGTCTTTGAACAATCTTATTTCACTGAAGTTGCTTGATCTTTGTTAACAAATTTTAATCTTGCCAGATCTCATGGGTTTTATCTCTTATGGTTGTTTGTTTGGATGTTTTTCTGCTTCCAATTATTTTTCTAGGATATTTTTCTGATTCTCTATCACAGCATATTACTAACTTCATTTTTGCACTTTTAGTAGTTTGATTGATGATCTTTATTTAGTAATATGTTTATTAATATGTTGTGTCAGTAAAATGCTTAGATATCACTATTAGAAAATATAGGTTACCTTCGGCGGAAAAATATCTACGCAGTAAGATTCGAAAACTTGAATTATGAGCCCTTCTTATTGCAAACTTCACGTCAGTAGAGTGGCTAAACTAGAGTCTTTCTTATGGAAAACACACTCCAAATTGACAAGGTTGCTGATTTTCAATCTCAGCATATTACCAACTCTTTTTCGCCTATTGCTTGTTTTCACCTCTTGATTAGTATGGCATTGATTTGTTTATTGCTTATACTATTAGATTGATGCATCATTAATATGGTTTTATATTATGGCATATTCAAAGAGTTTTTTTTTTGGGCAATACATTTTGGTACTCAAAAATAGAATAAATTTTCATTTTTTGTAAATGAAACTGACATATTTAGATTGTACTCTCCATAAGCTTTTTATTGATATAAAAGAGACTTTAACCGGAGTTAAATTGAAAAATATATGATTTTTCAAATTTTTTGCATACAGTAGATTTTTTGGTACTCAAAAAACAGAAAAATAAAATTTCATTTTTTGTAAATGAAATTGACGTATTTAGATTGTACTCTCCATAAGATTTTTATTGATATAAAATAGGTTTTAATTGGAGTTAAATTGAGAAATATATGATTTTTCAAATTTTTTGAGACAAATATGTTTTTTTTTTTTTTTGGGTAATACATTTTGGTACTCAAAAATAGAATAAAATTTCATTTTTTGTAAATGAAACTGACATATTTAGATTGTACTCTCCATAAGCTTTTTATTGATATAAAATACCCTTTGATGAGAGTTAAATTGAAAAATATATGATTTTTAAAATTTTTTGAGCTAAATATATATTTTTACTATTATAATAATGTTTAAAGATCACACATGAGGAACTAAAAACATCCCACTTTTATTAGGAATGTGATTAAAAAAATTAAAATGATATTTTAATGACAATCTATTTGAGTGAGATAATATTTATTTTTAGTCTCACCTTCCAAATAATCATAATTTCTATATAAATGTGATTGTATATATTTTTTTAATTTTATTTCATATCTCTATAATAAAACAATATTGTTTTTGGGATTGTTTGGGGTGTCATAAATAAGTGCATTTTTTGTCTTTTTGAACTAAAAAATTGAGAAAAAAAAGATGGATGTTTTGATTAATTTTTTATCTTTTTACGAAAAAATGTGTAACAAAAAATTGTATAAATAAAGTGTATAGTCGAAGAAAGGTGATTGATTGTACGGCTGGCCTGCGGCTGCCCTAGCGTGTCTACACAGAAAAGAATTGCCTTCTTCGGGGCAAATAACTTTTGGACAGTGATGGTCGGTCCGTGGGGGCCACCATGGGTCCCATTTTAATAATCTAAACCGTTCAATATGTAGAACTCGTCGATAATTATATGCCTATTAAAAATCACGTTGCTCGGATATCGATTTCTATATGATCGAATTAGTTTTTGTTCAACAGTTAACTATTATACCATCCGTTTTATTTGTACAAAATTGTTTTAATCATATAGTTAACGATATTTGATCAATGTAATTTTTTATGGGCATATATTAATCGACGAGTTCTACATATTAAACGGTTTGGATTATTAAAATGGAACCCTTACTAGGCCTCCAAGGGCCCAATATTATCATCAAATTTTATGACTTTACATATGAAATTTTTTTTTCCCCTCCAAAAAAAGTGTATAATGGCCTGGTCAACGGTTATCACGTTGCTCAGTGGATTTGTAATATAAATATATATATAATATTTTTTTAATATTTTTTATTTGTAAATAGTAATGTCTTTTTTACTTTTTGTGTAATTTTTTTTTGAATTCAAAAATATTTGAAATCTCTAATTAGAGGTGTCACTAGTGATGTGACAGTGAATCTCACCCACTGTCACTATTAATGCTGTTTTTTTTTTTTTTTTTTTTTTCCTTTTCTCATCATTAAAGGTGTGTTTAGAGCCTCTAACTCTAGCATCATTGTTTTGTAGGGGTGGGCGCGGGTCGGTTGCAGCCACGAAATCTTCAATCTGCCATTCGTCCACCAGATTGGCGGATTGGAAAAAATCAATCCGCATCCGTCCGCCAATCCGGCGGATGCGGATAGAGCGGATTGGCGATTTGGCAGATGGATGCGAATCGGTTTAGCGGTTTGAAATTTTATAAATTTTCAATATAGTTTAACTTGTGCACTTCCTTAAAAAAAAAAAAATATTACAGTCAATGACTAAAAAAAGTATTACAATTACTGCATGCCTCATCCAAAGAAAGAAAGTTTGAAACTTTAGAATATCACAATCACTGCATGCCTCATCCACATATTATAATCACAACATGCCTCATTCACATAAAGTATTACAATCTGTGGTTCTTTAAATATAAAAACAATTAAAACCACAAAAACTATGAACAGAGTAATAGTTGAGATTGTATGTCTCTGTATTGTTACATTTATATATGTTTTGAAAACTAAAACCAACTAGCATATTTCATGTTTTTTATTTATTACTTTTAGAGTTAGATTTAAAAATCAAAAAATATAGATAAATAATACGTTTATTTTTTTCAATTCAAAAAATATATTCAAGTTGAAAATTTTTTTTCAACAGAATATTTGAACTCTTTTTCAATTGAAAACACAAACAAAATATTTAAACAAATTAAAAACACAAAATCTTATAAATTACTAATGCTTCGTTAGGGTAGCCTTGGTTGAGCTTTTTTTGGCTATTTTAGCCACAAAAAACAAAATAGGCTATTTTAGCCACAAAAAACAAAACATTACATCTAACCCATAATTATTACACTATTCTCTCACAAAAAAAGTCAAAAAAGTCAAAAAGCCCTTCCCAAACCAAACTTTTTAGCCTAGGTTAAAATAGCCAAAAAAGTCAAAAAGCCAAAAAGCCAATCCACTTCCCAAACCAACCCTAAGGTACTCGCGATTTAGCGGTTCGGTTGCGACCAAAGGAATCTCAAATCCGCCATCCGTCCGCCAAATTAACAGATTGAAAAAAATCAATCCGCAACCGTCCGCTCGTCATCACGCATCCGTCCAAAATACGACGAATCGGTTTGGTTCGATCGAATCCAAAATACAACGAATCAACTTGATTCGATCGATTTTAATGGATCAGTATATCCGTGGCCCACTCTACTATTTTGAATAATACTGGAGTCCCAAGCCAGCCCTAAAAGTGTTTATCTTTATAATCGATGACAACCGTCAAAATGAATCCATCATAGATTAATGGGTGGATTAACTTGACCTATGTTTTTACCACCCAGGAAACTTTCCTACCATTTCCTCCCAGCACAATCTTCATCTCTGTCTTTGTTTCTCACTTCTCCACCACGACCAGAGCATCAACTTTGCCTCTTCCTTTTCGTCGACACTCACACTCCTCACCACCGTCGCTGCTCCTTCTCCCTCCATAGCGACCCCTCGTCTACATCTCGATCGGAACAACTGCGGTAACCCCACGCCCCATCTCGACCATTGTAGTAACTGTCGCAGCCACCATCTTGGCCTCACACAACATTGCGAAGGGTGAGCATATTTATATATATATATATATATATATGCTTCAGTTTTCAAGATCGTTAAACTATTTGGAAAGCTTTGATAAAAATTTTTCTTTGTATAGAATGATAACAGCATGATTTTACCTAATTTGTCATCTATGATTGAATCTCCAAATTCATGGAAAAACTATTGCTCTCATAGGGCAAAAAGCCCTAATTTTTCACACCCCTAAAGCTTATACTTAGAGAGATTTTTTTTGTTTTTGTTTTTTTTTGTTTTTTGCAGTGTGGGTATTGGATTACAACTTTTTTGTTTTAGGTTTGTGAATAATATGGAACTCTTTTTGATCACTGAAGTTACCTGAATTTTTATAATATGGTTTCGTACCTTCAAAAATTTCCTCCCCTTCTAGCCATGGTGTTTCAAGAGATTGTGTTGATTAGGTTATACTATTCTTTCACTTTTGGTCTACAAAAGATGCTGATGCTGATGCTGATGTGTTTTTTATCTTTATTGAATTAATCTTTTGTGATTACATCATTATTGTTGAATAATTGGTCACATCATTATTGCAACACATTGGTTATGAGCAAAGGCCTAAACTGCTATAGTGATGACGAAAGTTACTGAAAAGTTCATTGTGATTTTCAGTTGGGAATGCACATTGTGAAACATGGTAGATTTGTATTCTAATTCCTTAAATTTAGTGATCAAAAAAAAAAAAAAAATAAAGAAAAAAATTGCCCCATTTCTTTCCTCACTCAATTCTTTTTTCAAAAGGATTTATGCAAGTAATGAATTGCTAATAAAATGCAATTGACTACTCATATAAAATTCATGAGGAGCAGATTCAGGGAAGTCCTATAACATATCAAATATTAAACTTTTCTCAGGGAAAAATTTCTGGTTCATCCATTAAACTTACTCGGGAAACATGTTGGGATTCAAACACAACTTATTGGGGAAGGCTCATATCATTTCAAAGAGTAAACTTGAATCCCAATATGTGCTCTATATTGTTGCTTGCTAGCTGTTTCTCATGTAGTGTAGCTGCAAGAATATTAAAAATGTTTCAGTAGTCTTTACTGAGTGTATAATTCATGAACTTTTCTTCATTACTTTTTACGATTGCAGGAAGGCAAGGCTGATGCTATTTCCCATATGAACACCATTGTCAATTCAACCAAAGGAGATCCAGTTTTGGTTAGTTTTCTCTTTTGCCCTGTCATGCTATTGATATTTTGCTTATAACTTAATCTATTTAACTGCCACTAATGTGAATAATGTTGATGTTCGAGCACTAACATCTTAAACTAAGTTTGGCTTAGTATTTATTTTGTAAGGTATTGTTGATTTTGAGTTATGATAGGCTTAACACATTATTGTCTTGTTCTCCATATGGTTAAGAATTAGCTTGAGTTATGATAGGCTTAACACATTATTGTCTTGTTCTCCATATGGTTAAGAATTAGCAACTATTGATTTAACTGTCATTTTTTACCTTGTTTTGGAATCATCCAAGAAATTGATCTTCAGGAGCCTTTGTTACGTTTCTCCCTGTGGGATTTCTCTCTGTCTCTTTGTCAAGGGGCTTTTTTTTTTGGGGGGGGGCGCGGTTTGGTGGGATATAATGGTGTTGATTTTGGAGTTCTTTATCTAATTAGGCTTATATGATTGCCACATCTATATTGTTCATTTATCCACATGTTCTAAGTTGAATGTATAATGTATCATTATTTTTTTTCCTATTGACTGGCCTATTGTTTTTCCCTTTTCTTTTTTTCTTTTTTATTTTTTATACCATATTGCATCTATATATGTTTTCCTCGAGTTGTTTACAATTTCTGCTAATTATTTTTTGTGCTTGTTATAAGAATTACAAGTTCCGTTCCCTACTCATTGTATTATACCATGTTGCATCTATATATGTTTTTTTTCCCCCTCCCCTATTAATTGGCTTATTTGAAATTAAGTTTTTTCATTTTTTTTAATGAGATTTTTATTGTGTAATCACATTAAAAAACTTTTTATTCCTAAACATTCTCTGTATATATATTTTTCCAACATTAGACTTTCATTTATGAAATATATGATGTTATTAGCAATTCATATGCGGTCAATGTTGTGATTCAAAGGAAATTTTTGTACAAATAATATTAATTATATTTTAGATATTAGTTTTGTTCAGATTTTAATCATGATTGATATGTTGTGATTGATAGTCACATTTTGTGGTTGAACTTTTTTTTCATTATCACACGTACTAATCGTGATGAGAAAATGCATATAACTGTGATCTCATCTCACTATTAATCGTGGATTATTTAAATTGATTATTTAAATTCAATCTCAGGTTTTCTTAGTTATTGATCACACTTAAAATTTGTGATCTAAATGTTTATTATCACGGTCAAAACTTGTGATGAAATTATCTTTTAATGACGGTCATAAAGTATGATCGAAAATGACCCTGAACAATTACACTCTCAAAGATCACACTTTGACAAAAGAAAAAAATTTGTAATTAAATAATATACATCACACTTAAAATCCGTGATCTATTTATGATTTTGTAGTAGTGAGAAGAAGAAGGAGATGCAACACAAATAAGGGAATTATTATTCAATTCTAATTCTAAATCTAACATAAAAAAATCATCCCTCAAACTACCATGACTATAAAATGTTCTTACCAAGATAAATTGACAAACTAATGTCCTCAAAATGAAAAGAAAAACCTAACCTCAAAAGTGCTGAAACTGAAAGTCGATTACATCGGATAGTGGGTGTCTGAAGCACATCATGAAGGAGCAAGTTGCGCCCAGTATGCGACATGAGCTGAAAGGTACCCAACTCCTTAGACTTTTTCTTGAGCTCCATTTCCCGTTATTACATAATTCCTACCAACTGGTATCCGACAATAATCTACAAATCCAGCTCAATCTCTAGTTGCACGTTTGGTTGCTCCTGTGTCTACAATCCAACCAAGGAGAGAGTGAGCAATAAAAACATGTGAACAAACAAATATATTTAGAGAGCTAGTAATAAGGTGTATCTTCTTTGGCTTAGTACACTCTTGAGCAAAGTGACCCTTCCGTCCAGAGTTATAGCATTTGAGTTTGGACTTATCATTCTTTTCAGCACGCTTGCCTCTGCGACGCTTGGTTACTCTGCCATCTCTTGGCGCTAGATTCTCAACCTTTGCTTGTCTAGCTCCTTTTTGCTGTCATTTGCACCGAGGCTTGTATCCCCTGCGCTTTCCAGCTTTAGCGACAAATGTAGCAGAGCAGTTCGCATCTTTGCCCTCCTCCTCGAGCTCAAGGTGTTGAGAAATGTCATCAAAAGTTTTGATTCCCTCATTGTGCGTGAGCACCAATTTCACATGTCCCCACGAAGGGTTAGGTAGGGATCTGATTACTGACAAAATCTGTCGCTCATTAGTGAGATCATTGCCAGCTGCCTTCATCTCTCTAATTATGGCAGACATCACCGTAAGGTGCTTAGCCATAATATGTTTTGGGTCCACCACATATTGATTAAACTTCAATGTAAGGGCATGCAGCCTAGTTGTTGTCGTGTCTCCATACTTTAGGCGCAATTGATCCGACATTTCTTTGGTAGTTGAGAATTTCTCAAATTTCCCAATGAGGTCGTCAGGCATGCAGCTCAACAAGGTAAAACACACACTCTTATCCCTCTTAAACCAGTTTGCATGGGCATCTTGGTCACGACGATGCTGTGCTGTGTTCCTTGCCTCAGGTATGGCCATGATGTTGGTCAAATGGTTGAGCAATTCTTGTTCATTGAGAAGGTACTGAACCTTCCTGTGCCAGATATCATAGTTGTTTCCATCCAATTTATCTCCCTTATTAAGTTCAGCAATAATATTCTTTGAGGCCATTTCACTGATTTGTTGCACAAGGATTTAATTAGATGCATTTCTCAATATTTTATTCTAAATATTATTAGGCCATAAAATTCTTTCTCACATTATAAGATTAAAAATTTCGCATTTTTAGGTGCTAGTAATCATCCTCCACAATGTGAGCAAGAATAAAATGTATATTTAATTTAAAATAAAATATAGGGAACAATTCCCATTATCCACAATTTTAAATTATCAATGATATAAAATGAGTCCATAAATTGTGCCATACAATTTGCACGTCGGTTCCGCTTGAAACCCTATTAGTATTTTGGTGCAACATGTTAAGGCAACTTTGAAATATATTGGTGATAGTAAAACACATCCCCTTACATGGCTATGGAAAAATAACCAAACCAAACAAAGCCTTAAGTCCCATAAAATGGGGTCGGCTACATGGCTATGGAAAAATACATCCAAAAAAATAATTTACAACTCAAAAGAATCCTACTACATTGATTCTAAATACAAAAGGAAATTGACATGGGGATGCCACTCCACCAATACATTTATGGGGTATACCTTCAACTATACACAATAAAATAAAACATGTGTACCAATAAATACCATTGTCACCCCCATCCAAAAAAAAAAAACTAAATTAAATTGAGCAATTAATAATTAAAAGCAATTTAAATGGGTCAAAGGATGGAGTTAACTACAATTCCATCTAGGGAAAGGAGTGTTGGACAATAAAACCTAGGACTCATATTTAATATATTAGTACATAACTAACATATTAATTAATCGCGAAATAAATTAACTCAACAATTGAATAGCACAAAATAAAAACTAACAATATTAAAAGGAGTTAATTAATTATGCACACTAATTAATAATAAAAAAAAATCTGGAATATTTTTCTTATTTCCAGAATTTTTTTTTTTACTCAAAAAGGTTTGAAAAAAAAAACATATTTTTTTCAATTTAACTCCGATTAAAGCCTATTTATATCAATAAAAAGCTTATTGACAGTACAATCTAAATAAACATGATGACGAAACATATGAAATGCTCCTTACATAACCATATAAGACCACTGACATCCTCCACAAAACAATCATCAATATGCATGATACACATAAATAGAACCGAGATGATAAGAAGAAACCCAACAATGCTCTACCTACCTCAAGAACGGTAAGCCAAGGATACACCTTTCCAATACTCACGCCAATTTATCAGACATCTACTGGAAGGTAATGGTACCTCTACCAAGTTTTCCATTCGCTAGCTGGAAGGTACTGGTACCCCACATTCTCAGTGCAACCAATTCTCTAGGCGCAAGCTAGAAGGTAATGGTACCTTTTATTCTCAGCGCATGCACTTTCCAACCATCATATAATTTAACAAACACAAATAGTCCGAGTGTACTACATACACATAATTTATTCAACATCACAACGTCATCCTCCATTGATGACCAAGGACAAAATCTCTAAGCAAAAATATTTAAACACACGTACTACGATAATTCAATGCTCACTTGACCTTAAGTCCTGCAACAATGATAATAACGACAAAACCTCAAGTTCATTTCTAAATTTACAATACGTCATAGTTTCTTTCCCTTTTTAAAATCAACTCTTTAATTTTCCAAGCCTTTTTCTTTCCAATAACCAATTTCTGTATTTCAATAAAATTGCATCCATGGATTCCAAGCCATAACCCAACTCAACATGATTATCCAAATAAAATTCCAATACCAAAATTAATTCTCTTTATGCTAACAACACAATAACACAACTCAAATTATCAAAACAAAAACATCATTCAACTTTACCCCTTCTTAATTCATTAGGTCAAAATTATTAAATTAGGGCTTTCTCTTCCTCACAACATAAACACGTTAAACTACTCCGCAATTAACCCAAACAACTATCAATTTTACAATTTCATAGTGAACGTTTTTTTGTTTTTGGGAATAAAATCTACCACGTCTATCTATAGACAATGTATTGAAGAGGAACAAAGAATCCCTACCTGTTGAAGTGACAAGGAGAAAGTTGAAAAATTCACGGTGATGAAAACACGATCCCTTCAGATTAAAATGAAGCCCTCGCGACCCTCTACGTTCTTCTCCAAAGGACAATGGTGTAGAGATCAATGGATTGAGAGCATTTGGGGCTGGAAACCAAGAACTAGAGAGAGAGAGAACTAGGTATTTTGAAATGTTTAGAGAGAAATAAAAAAGTGATCTAGAAAGTCACTTTCCAAAATTAATATACGCACAGATTGCTCAAGCGAACAAAATACCGCTCGAACGACCAGATACAATAAGTGAGGCCGCTCGAGCGCACAATGATACCATCTTAGAAGTTTTGCAGTTTCTTAAAGTTTGCTTGAGTGTAAGAAAGTCGCTCGAGCGAACAGGCCAAATTCTGGGCAACAACAGTTTTGAAAAACAAACCCCCAACCTGTTCCAAATACAACATCAATACTCTAACGACTCAATTCAACAAGGAATAAAGTAAACAAGGATACAAACAACCATTAAAGACAAGGAAACTCAGATCCAAAACATCAAACGGGTCAGGTCTAAATCAGAATCGTTATAAATAGTATATTTTAGGGAGGGAACTGGGTTGGTGAGATATTTGTTTTTGATTTTGAATAGGGGTGGATATCTCACCAGACCAGACTTTAGAAGCCAAATGGACATCAAAAGAGAGACCAAAATGTGGGTGTGATTCCAACGATAAAAAAAAATAAAAAAATAGTGTGGGTGTGGTTTGGTAAGGCTTTCATTTTTGTTTTTATTTTATAAAATTATATATAAAAATTTATTTAGTGTATTATTTTCTTTTTTTTTTAAAAAAATGTGGAATTAATTCAAAAATTCTAAAAAATTTTAAAAATATATATTTTTATGAAATTTTTTACTTTTTCCTCCCTCTCACCATCTCCTGCCACAATTGGCCGCCGGCAACTCTCCGATCCGACAAATTGACAAGGCAACTCTTCGATTGGTTTTGATGACTGTACAATCACCGTCTATGATCTTCAACGATCACCTCCAACCACTAGCACCTTCGATCACCCTCCACTACCTAGTCACTACTTCTGACAATTCACTAAACATATTTTTTTAATTTTATTTTTAAAAATATTTATGTACCACGAACACATTTTTGTTTTGTTTAAGAGAATAATCTTTGTTTTACATATATTCAATTTCAAATACTATTATCTCACTATGATTTTTGTAGAATTTTTTCTAGTAACAAACATAAAAAATTTAGTTCTAAAATTACTCGGTTGCTAATATGAATTTATAAAGTTATTTTGTATTTATAAATTCAACTAAAATAAAAGAATTTGATATTATTTATCCTAACAATGGAGATGAAAATGGTTGGTGGAATAGTAATGATTGACATCAAATTAGAAGCAAGGCCTGACATTTTTTAGGCCCAAAAGCGAGTTTTCTGGACTTTTATACATTTAGGGGGAGAGGAAATTATAATTGAAAGATTATCCACCAAATGTCTATTTTTTATTTATTCTTCACATAAAATTTACTTAAATATATAACAAAGTTTATGATAAAAAAAATGATTAAAATAATTTAATCTCAAGTACCAAACAAAAAGTAAATAAATTGTAACAAAATATCATTAAAACATTACTATTCTCATATTTTTAGTTGTAAAGTTGCTAATCAAAGTTATCAACTAAATATTTTTCAAAGGATAAAATTATTAATCCATTTAATCTTTATTGTGACATAGTTAACCAAAAGTAAGATTTAATCAATTTTAACTTTGAACTTTTTTTCGGAAACAATTATAAGAAGATTTTTTTTTTAAGGTCCCTGATATTAAGATTTTATAAAATAAAGGACATACAATATTTTCATTATAGTTGGGGTCTCTCAACATTTTCACAAAGAAAATTTGACATAGAAAAATTTCACCTTGACTTTGAGAAGTTTCGCCTCAATACAAAGAAATTTCTTTAGTATGATCACAAAGAAATTTCATTGAAGAATCTTAGCTAATAAAAAAATATATATATTGTAACTCTCCTACTACCCAAAATTAGAGAGGGATGTTTCACTAATTTTTTTCCAATTACAATTGATATAATTAGTTGTATTTTATACATAATTTATAAATTTAGGAAACATTCATCCATTTATTAATTTAAAATAACTGAATTGTATCAATAGATTTTTTAATTTTTTTCAAGTAAAAACAATCATTTTATTAGTTTTAAATAATTCACCATATCAATCATTTATTCATTTTGAATATTTATTTAATTTTGTTGGGGTGTTTTAAATTTAGGTGTTTTTTTTTTATAGATTAGTATAATACCTAAAAATATTTCACAATCTGTTTTTTAAATAAATTTTTGAGGCTCAAAGCCGCAGCTTTAAAGCCAACCCTTAGGGATGGTCATAGGTCGAGTTTGAGGCGGATTTATAAAAGTCCGCTTCTGCCCCTTATGATATTAGGAGCGGAACAAATCAGGGGGTAACGGAAGCGGGACAAGTGCGGAGCGGGAGGCAGATTATTTTTTTAAGTTAAAAATAAAAATATTAATAAAAATTATAGATAATATAGTATATTATAAATAATATTTTGTACTTAGTGAAAATTATGTTATATAAGATAGAAAATAATGAATAAAAATTAATATTAAGTATAATATTTTAGTATTTTAGCTTTATTGTAATAAAAACTAAATATATTATATACATATAAGTATATAACTTGTAAAATCCGTTCCCGTCCCATTTCTTAATCGAGGAGGGGAAAATTTGTATAGGGCAGGGGATGCGGGTGCGGAGCGGAGTAATGGAAAATGACCATCCCTACGACCCTCGTTAGAAGGGTAATGATTTAGGCCCCCGTTTGGGAATTGGATATTTTAGTTAGCTTTTTGATTTTTTATGAAAAGATGTGCTGAAAAATAAAGAGTGATATGACAATTTATAGTGACTTTTTTATTTTTTAGCTAAAACCTCTAAACCCCTAAGAGGTTGTTTGGCACATACTAAAAGAATATACCTATTTATTTGTTTTTTTTTTTGTTGGATCACAGTCTCTATATTTTTCTATATATCTTTTCGTAAAAAGTAAAAAAATATACTTATCTATCACTTTCCAAACAACCTCTTATACCATCTCTAATGGTTCATCAATTCTGTCATCAAATTTAAATTTGATGAAAAAACACATTTTTTCCTGTTCTAATAGTTTCATCCAATAAGTATCAAATCGAGGATATCAAAAATTTTGCACCAAATTGAGGACGATGGGAGCTTTTATCAAATCATTGGTCGTAACCGTTAAATTTTCACCACCAGATGTCCTCCCGGATATCCCCCAAATGACCGCTCTAGGCAAAAATCTGTGAAAAAAATACACTAGCTGGTCGACTGGCCGGACATTCTCTCTGGTCGACTGATATTTTGATGAAAGCACAAAATCCTCTGTTGGAGTATTTGATATCAAATAAAGTTTTTACACAAGTTTGATTTAAAAAAAAGAAGAAGATAAACTGTTGGAGATGTTCTTACTCTTATTAGTATTATAATAAACAAAAATGTTAATATCATTATTTAAAAAAAAACATGTTTTGCAGGAAACATTTCTGTTATCGGCCTTTCTATACTCTTCAACAAGGACATAATCGCAAAACCCTAGCACAATTCATCCCAACTCAGTGAAATTCAAGTTTATGCATTAAAAACATCTCAATTAAAAGCTCCAAATTCTGTGAAGCGTGTGTGAAAATGGGGAGTGGAGGGTTAGATGTTGAGTTGACGAAGCATAGTTGTGGGTCTGCGGTGGGAGTAGAAGCGTCGGTTGATGTGGTGGTGGAAGGAGTAGGTGGTTTGGGAATCGGAGGAGGGGGATTATCTTCAGAAGGAAGCTCCGAGGTTATCAACTCCAACAATGGTGATGGTGGTGGTGTGCAGGTCACGTGCTTCACTGAGGTGTTGGAGGACGTTACCCTTCATTTTCAGATCATACGTCTTCACAAACAGGTTAGGTTTTGCCACTCTTTATGTTCACAATTTTGTAATTGCAATAGTTTGTATGAATTATTCCTATGGTGCTTAAAAATATTATCATTGATGGGAGAGATGTGAAATTGTGCAAGTAATTTTTCAGCAAAATTTTAAAGGAAAAGAAAATGGGAGTTATAAAAGATTTAAGGGCATATATGAAATTTAAAAGTGGATAAATTGGAATTTTTTTTTCTTTATTGTAGCTATAGGTGATAAACCATAATTTCCAAAGTCAGCCGGGAATACAAAACTGGAATATGTTTGTATGTATTTAATGCTAATACTCAGTTGATTTTGTGATCAGTGAAAATGCTTTCTATTCTTGACTGATTGTAATACCTGATTACACTGCAAGAAAAACAGGAATTAATGACGTTTTTAAAATGTCGGTATAACCCCAAAAAAGTCGTTAAAAGTTATTGTGGCTTTTTTTTTCATTCGTCGAGGATGGGGCCGTCGCCATAGCGTTGTGACGTTTGAAGAACGCCACTAATTATTTTTAGCGACATTTACGTAGACGCCGCTAGTAGTTTTCACCAACTTTTTTGATTAAACGCTGCTACATATTAATGCAACAACCTCTGTGGATGCTAGCAAACTTTCACTGACGTTTACAGAAAACATCACTCTATATATATTTTTTAAATTTGTTTCTCCCTATAGGTTTTAACATTTAATTTATTTATGAAAGCCTGACTACAATTAGCAAACCCAAAATCTTTGGGGGATGCAACAGAATAAACAAAGTCATGATAAATTTATTCCTCTCTTTTGAAAACTATATCAAGATAAAAAAACAAGCCACCATTTCTTCTTCTATTTTGAAACAAAGTCATGTTTCACCAACTTGAAACATTGTTGTGAATGAAGATTGAGATGGTCTTGGGAAAGACATCAAGCCACCATTTCTTCAGTCGTAGAGTTATGCAGTAGAGCTTCTCTCATTTGTCTCTTCAAAGAACATAACTTTCCTGTCAAAATTGAAGGTGGAAAGATACAATTACATTTTTTATTTATTTATAAAAAGTATCAGATTTTTTACTGGAAAAGAAACATATATGAAACAATATAAAAAACTACGAATGCAATAAGGAAAAATTAACATTAACAATCTCAAATGCAACATTTTAAATTGATCCTTAACAAATTATTAGGTACCAACAGTTGCACCATGAATATGTTATTTATTTTAATACAACAATGCATATTTGGAAATTCTTAAAATCAAGGGCAGCAAGTTGAAATCATCAAAATATGAAATAGAGTAGATAATCTTCAATTCATACGTGGATCAAGAGGTGATAATCTTCTTTGAAATAGCGTAGCATATCCTCAGGAGATAAACTTCTTAGCTGCCACCAAGAGAGGGGTTATGACAAATTTTTAGCAAGTATTCCTCCATATAAAATCTTGAAGCACTATGCTTTCTAACGAAAATTAAAGCTATGCCCACAAAACATGAGTATGTTATTTTGTATGCTCTACTCTGGTTCAAAGAAAAGGATATAAAATATACAAAAACCAAGAAAGAAAATATCACAGTGCAGGACACTTTAAACTTCCTACCTGCAAACAAATTTGTGATGAAGTAACTATCAAAATTAGAAGTATAGAACAGCTAAAGTTCAGTGAGGTGAGGTTAGCACAAACTGTGATTTTTAATTAATATGAAGTATAGAATTTGAAAACGTCTTCAAACAGGGGATGGTTACATAAATTAAGAAACATATTTAACACAAGACAACAGTCATAGGCTGGACAAACTATCCATTATAAAATTGTTTCATGTCAATTTTAGTTGCTATGCTAGAGGTTAAAACGACAAGGTTGAGATATAAAGACCAAAACCTCTTTGGTAACTCAATGTACCATAACCAAACGAACATAGGAAAGAAAAAAAACAAGACATAAATTCCGCTTCCCTTTTCACTTCTCTTCAACCAAAAACATAGGCCATAGGAAATCCTTTAAGCAATTTCACAATACAAGCTTGATTCAAACAGGACATATGTTTGACAATCAATAGGACCCAAAAGTCTAAAGATTTAGTCCTTAAACGATGATTTATCCAAAATACTAAACAAAATATATATTATTGCAAGGAGGGAGGCCAAGGTCAATCCACTTGGTTGACAAACTCACCAGCCATGAGAAGGACAGGTACTAGTTTCTGTTAGGTTTGAAAAAAGTAATTTATGTGTATATATACCTGCAACATGTAGGTGTGACTGTTTTAAACCCTGTCAAATACAAAATAGAAACACAGATTCAATCTAATGTCAATCTCTTAACAAGCAAACAATCTTTTCTCAAGAAATATACTCGGTATTTTGGAGGGAAAAATAAAATAAGAAAGTCAAGAATCAAACCTGTGTGGATGATCAGGAAACCCAACAAGTGCAGAAATTGCATCAATGTTAACAACAAAATTTCAAATGTTTATTACACATGAAACAAATGGAAGATAAACATCATTAAAAGGACCCAATAAAAAGATGAGTCGTTTGAACTCTCCGAAAGGGACCAAATATTCATATTTGTGATACACAAATAAAAGGAACATAACATGTCTTACCATAGAACAAAGCTGCCAAGGACATCCTTTAAGATGCATATATAAGCCCTGTTTGGTAGAGTTGTGGGAAAGTGCTTATAGCTTATACCTTAACAGCTTATAGCTTATAACTATGAACATAAGCTGATTTCTGACTTATAAATTAAGCTTCTCCTGCCCCACTCAAAGAATAAGTTGATTTCTGACTTACAAAAAGCTATAAGCTGTATTGTTAAGCTAAACTAAACACATCAAAATAGCTTAAATTAAGCTGAAATTAAGCTGTACCAAACAGGGCCATAAGCTATTGGGCCATAAAGGTTCACCCATGTTAGGAGAGATAAGAGAAAACAGGGGTACCTCCAATGTGATCAATAAGAGAAACAGGGGTACCTCTAAGGTTCATTCAAGATCTAGTCATTGCAATAACCAAATCACAATTGTGTGGTATCAGTGAATCCTCACACACAATCAAGATCCATAGAAGCATCACCTTTTATGTACATATAAAAAATCTCCAACCAAGATTATAATGAAGTTCTTATACATATTATAATGAAAGCAAAAGGTATATCTGCATTGAAATCGTAAAGAATAGAGAAGAGAAAGAATCAGAGAGACTAGAAATCATCCTGCACATTCAATGTTTTCCACACAATAAATAAGGAAACAACTTGGAATTGCAACCCAAATAAGTGCCCTCCTTACTATAACTAGTTGCAGTAACCACATTGATCTGCAAAAGGAGGAAAAAAAAAAAGCAGTTTACACTAATCAACATCCAATAAGAAAAGAGAAAACCAAACCAGAGTGAGAGAAAAATAATAGCATAAAACAACTATCACAATAATAATAATAAATAAATAGAAGAAGTGGTACTTGAGTGGATTTGCACTCTTTTTGGAACAACAGATCAGGTCTGGAGGGACCAATCTCATTGCAAATATAAAAAAAAAAATTCCTGGAAAGTCCCTGCTACAATAGCAAATCAAAAGAATGTTGAGAAGCAATAATTCCAGTTAGAAGAAGAACTATCAGAAAAATTTGGTCGATTATATCAAATCAAATATGCGAACTATGAGAGAGAGAGAGAGAGACCTCTCATTCTCGAACCATCGGAACACAAGTTTTGAGATCAGATCCCTGTATTTCTAAGGGAAATAATTAGCGAAAACCTTAACAAGCTTTGAGTTCTCGGGATCAAGTTTCTAATCATACCAACCCTAAGCAAGAACAAGAAATCAATAGATACATACAGATTTCAATAGATTAGCATGCCAGAAATCGATCAAGAAACACAACAAAGTGAAATCAAATCAAACTCAATTTAATAGGTACAGTGAAGTGTAGAAATCGATCCAATAGTTTCTGAAAAGTTGGACTGATCTATAACTCCTCGCTTTCAAAGGCAAATCACAACCAATTAGATAGAAATTGAAGAACACATCGATCCAAAGCCTAAATAAAACGATTATAGAGAAATCGAAGAAAAATAAACAGATCCAAACCCTAGACGCCATTCTTGCAAACTTTCTCTCACTAAAACGTAAAAACCCTCATCTCTCACTATTGGTGTCTACACTTCTTTTTATGCGAGATGGATTTTGTAAAATATTTTTTTCCTCTAAGTAGAGGCTATAGAGAAAAACGCAACAGGCCAAATTAAATATCCAAATCACGCATATTTTGGGTATTGAAATCGTTCCTCTTCGTACGGGGTGATATGACATTTTTTGAAAAAAGCGCCACTTTTTATGCAGCGTTTTTCAAAACGTTGTTATATGAACGCTGGCATAACCAATATTTCTTGTAGTGTTAGGGATAGTTGTTTCAGCACAGTCTGGTCCTTTTTCTTCTTCTTTTTTTTTTTTTTTTAGGAGCGTTGCTTTGTTTTTGTTGTCTTTCAAATTGACATGGAGTGTTTCCCTGCGGAAAAATAAATTAGCGCTACTTATCAAGAAAAAAATAAATTTTAGGGAAAAGAAAAACAATACGCAAGGTTATGTGATTATTTAGATATTATACAGTTTTTATATGCCATGTAAGGCTGCATAGATCGTGCCTTGACATAATTGGATTGTATGTATGGTTATATCACCAAATTGATTTATTAAAATTGATACTGGATTAGAATTTGTAAAATCAAAAAATCAAGAATCATTTAGATTAATGACAATTGTTTTCTTTTATTTCTATAGATCTATGCATGGATTGGTTGCAACTCTGCTAGATTTGGACGCTTATATGCTGCTGCACCTACCCGGCCTGTAAGTTAACAATTTATATATTCACGAAAGCTCCCATCTTTTCTGAATTTCATGTTTGTTTTATTTAGGGAAGTTTCCCTATTATTCATTTCAAAAACTGCCTATTTTTGTGACAAAAATCACAATTTGCTTATTTACAAATTGTAATGGTAGCAAAGAAGGCATTATGAGGGATAAAAGTACCAACATTGATGGCCTTCCCATCCTTGCATAATAGCATGAGATCACCTTCTTCATTATGATCATAGATTAAGTAATTGTTATCAACATATCTTACTATTTGATGGTCATGCACAGAACAATACTGTGAGTGTTGCTAACATACTTGGAGGATCTTCTGATAACACAGGATCTGGTATTGCTCGTCGATTAGGTAAACTTTGATTTACAATTAACAATTTTCATAAAAATATTCTTTGTTTTTCTGCACTTACCTGTGATCTTTCTTACAGTTTTGAAGACAGGTCTAAATGTGATACTAGCTTGTAACATTCCAAAGAACAGCCCCATGCTTGAGGTTTAATCTCTCTCTCCCTCTCCTGCACCATTAGCAAGCACTATGACTGTTTATGCACTGCGTACTCAAGCTTAATTTTCAATTTTATAGATATTTAGGTTTTACATGGTGGTGTTTAGCTATGAACCATTTGACTTGGAATTGTGCACTGCCTATTTGAATAACGTACCAACTTTCACCATCTCTCCTAAAATCAATTGATGTTAGGGAGGGCTTTACTCATGTCTTATGGCATTTGACCTTGTGTCCACAAGCCTATTTTTAGAGCCATCGTAGGGAGGGGCATTATATACCAAACGAAATCATTTGCATGTATGAATGATTTAGCATGAGTCTTCCTGTTCCTCTGTTCCTCGTTGTTTGATCTATATTTTCCCCTCCTCTTATTGGGGTTTTCAGGCTGATGCTGAGAAAAAGTTGGTGGAGAAGTTAATTAACTTGGGGTATACTAGGCCAAAATCTAATGGATCATCTTCATAGTAGAGAGTTGAGGCCAACATGCATTACATGAAAGATACAATTATATGGTCATAGCGATTATGCTTACAGTGCGATACTGACTGAAGTCCAGGAAACAGCATCAGTTGGGGGTCTTGGCATCGTCATGGGATTGCGTGATAGCTTTTTTTTTGTTTGTTTTTTTCCTCTTAAATAATCCTTTTGCTTGAATGTCTTGCTGCTGATTACAAGGTTGAGCTGATCGTATAGTGGACCTGCTATGATCAATTGTGAATAGTGGGGGTTCACTATTTCGTGTGATGGATTATTGAATTCTACAATGTATTAGTGATTGACATGGCATCACTCTTATACTGTACTTTTTCTCATTGTTAAAAAAATTTGTAAGTTGTGGGTGGCTGTTTTGGTAAATTTTTATGGCAAGAGCAAGTCATTGCTCCAAACTTGCGAAGGGAAGGATAGGAAGCCGAGTGAAATATGCTACAATTTCATTATTCACAATCTTTCATCGACAACCATTTTGGGAGAAGTTTTATCTGAATAAAACATCCATTTATGTTTTAACCATTTCTGGTATCCAGGAGAATGTAGGAGTATTTTTATTTCAATGACTTCAATATACTTTTTTGTTAGAATATAGAAAATTAAGTAAAGCGTCTACTCTTAGTTCTTCCTTAGATATCAATATTTTCATATAGAAATATCTTTAAAATTCAATGAAAACAGTCAATATATATGTTGGTAGAAGTGCATAGCTTTGCTTCAACGGCGTTGGACTGACAAATATTCAAGTACTTCAATGTCCTGGGTAAAATTCAGCCATGTAACACACAAGGTTCAAAATGAGAGACTATCAGATGTAGTCCTCATTAGATATCCTAACTGACAAAGCAAAATCAGCTTTCTGAAACACTAACATCTCATCTGTCCCTTAGTAAACTATAATTCAAAGCAAAACCTTAGAATAGATGCACATCAACAAGCCTCCTTTGGGATTTTAAAACTTGCAATTCTTGATCAGGCATTTTTACATTAATAACAACATGACATAACAAATGATAAGCATATATGAATGACAAAATAATACAATACAAAATGAAAGAAGCAAACAGCCCCTAAGAATCGTTGGAAAAACCTATCTCCAAAATGATAGAAGAAAACTACATATAGACATCAAAGGCAATCTAACAACATATTTTCAAATGACCATCTTCCGTTCTAACAAGGAGCAGTCGTGAGAACGACAAAATACTTAAACTTGACAACACCGATATGTTCTTTACTCCACGATTTTCCAAATAGAGATATTGAGGGGTGATACGATGTTTCCCATCCTGCCACATGCCATTTTCAAAGGTATAGACAAAACAAAATCAGCTTTCTGAAACACTATCTGTCCCTTAGTAAACTATAATTCAAAGCAAAACCTTAGAATAGATGCACATCAACAAGCCTCCTTTGGGATTTTAGAACTTGCAATTCTTGATCAGGCATTTTTACATTAATAACAACATGACATAACAAATGATAAGCATATATATGAATGATAAAATAAGACAATATAAAATGAAAGAAGTCAACCCCGGGAATCCTTGGAAAAACCTATCTCCAAAATGACAAAAGAAAACTACATATAGACATCAAAAGCAATCTAACCACATATTTCCAAATGACCATTTTCCGTTCCGACAAGGAACAGTTGTGAGAACGGTAGAATATTTAAACTTGACAACACCTACATGTTCCTTATTGCACAATCTACCAAATAGAGATATTGAGGTGTGATACGATGTTCCCCATCATGCCACATGCCATTTTCAGAGGTAAATATACAAGTTACAAAAACAAATGGATTGAAACAATGACTCACAAATTTGACGCAGCTTTTCTTTTTCATTTTCCTTTGTATTTTTCTTTTTCTTTTTTCAAACAAGAGGGAGCAAGGAAGAAGGAATGATGAACAATTGATTTTTTTTTTTTTTCCTTTTTTGGGATATGTAAGATGAACAAACTAATGATATGAAAAACTAATCACAACTCCTCAAATGGATACATAACAAAACTATTTTGTCAAAAATATTAAACTAGACCAAGAGGGGGGAAATATACATCAGGTCAACCAACTCTTCGCCATCCAATTGACTATGAATACTTGAGAACAAAATTGAACTAGAAGATCCATTTCCCACAAATGATGTTCTTTTGTGGGAGATGAATGGGTGAAATGTAGTTAACAGACGATGAAATACTAAGATTCATAAACCCAACATCTTAGAGTCAAAACAATCATTTCTTGATTAGCTATCAAGGTTAATTTTGTAACTGTCACACAAGTACTTGTGGGTTGTAAAATCTTTTTTCATTTTTAGTTGCGAATACCACTATCTTTGATTTCGATCTTCCAAATCAAGGTGATGTAAAACTCTATAAAGGGCATCTATCTCCCTAAAAAAAACTAGAGAGGCAATAATGACTTGCTGAGTCATATTTAGGGATCTATATCATAACATGAGTTGGAAGGCTCTTTTAATGTATTGAGCAAACGCAGTTGTGATGTGGGGGTAGAGGTGAAAAGGGAATGAAAAAAAAAATTATAATTGCCATGCAAGTAGAATATACGGAGCAAACGTGGTGGTGTGGGGGTAGAGGTGAAAAAAAAAGGAAAAAAAGAGAAAAACATTTGGTATACGTACTTCATCTGTAGATCTAGCTAAAGAAGAAAGACCAATTTTATTTTTGGCAATTGAAATCACATCTTGTTCCCACATAGGAAAACCAGATACAGTATCACTATGACCTCTAAAAACAATAGGATGTGACGGTAAATTCCTACAAGAAAATGTCCACATAAACAACAAATTAGACACAATGAACTCCTCAGGGGTACCCACCCACAAAGGTATAACCAAATCAGTCATACCAGAGTGTATGAAATAAAATATTTAAGGTTCACAGTAGAATTCTGGGATACACTCATCAAGGGTCCATTCGTAAAGTCTTTGCATAGTAGAAGGATATTCATTTGGTTCATAGACTGAACGAACAACCATACGCAAAACACTCAGTGGTAACCTCCTTGCCTTGTAACTGCACACAGCCAGTTCAGAAAGGCATTCATCTGATACATGAGGGATTTCGGATGTTGAATACGTGAAGTCTAACTGTTCATCTCCTTTTGCTAACCGCCATTTGCTCTTGCTTAAATCTCGCCAACCTGCATCATTACTCTCATCAGGTTTTACACTAAAATCTATAACCCACAACATCATTGTATGAAATGTGTGGTTCCCCCACTTTCTCCCAACTAATCTGTTTAAGATGAGCAAATGTTCAAAGTTACTCAACTCTCCTCTCCACCAACTATTAAAGGCAGAATGCCAGTCCATAGATTGGGAAAACTTCAAATCAGCATAAAGTCCTTCAGAAGGATAGTCCTGAATGATGCAACCAATCCTCGAAGTTGGAGTAAGAGAGCATTCTTTACTTGTTTTACTTGAATCAGAGCTCACCATTACCATGGGAAATCCCCAAACCGTGCATATGAGCCAATGCAGAGAGTAGTTGGTATATCAAAAAATTTGTATGCCATTCAGATTTTAAGGTGTTAGGGCTAGAATGAAAAATGTTTTCCAAAGTGTAAGAAGTCTTGGAAAGCACTAAATTGATATAATCAGATGTTTTGAGCATCCCTAGAATAGGAGCTATGTTCGGGTGCCTTAAACACCTAGGGAAGCCATTCTCATTAAATGCCGGTATCCCAATGAAACTAAGAAGATTTATACTATCTCGTCCTGTTGCTTTTCCTTCAATCAGAAGACCAAGTGAGCTCAATATGTGATCTTCAACAAACCTAGAAAAATAGTTGAAAGCAAGCTCTTCAAACACGGCATAAGATGAAATGCTAACCTGAGCAATTGGAGCACAGGAAGTGATTGTCCTAAAAAGCAAGAAAACTGACTGTAAAAGTTACAAGTTGAATTTTTGCATCCGAACCCATCTAGGAATGTTCTTCTGCCACCATTGGACTGGATTTCCTTCAATGTAGTGTCTAGTGAACAAGTTAGATCTTGATCAATCACTGATGCAATTGTCACCACTCTCACCATTGTGTCTACCTTGAAGATCTTTTGGACAATACTCATCATTGGAAAAAAGAATCCAAGTCCAATCGAAATCACATCCTATCAAAATTCACAGTAAATCATAGAAAGCCATAGCATAGGTAAATCATATCAAATTGAGTAACATACATGCATTTTGTCAAGTAATCGTATTGGCCACTAGGTAGATACACCAATATGAACTGATTAAGATGTCATATGCAACTATTAACCTCCTTTTTTCCCCCTTCTCTTTTTTTTTTTTTTACTTCAACATTCATAAATTTCAAAACTTGTATTCTTCTAAAATTGTGGGATTAATTGTAATATTTTCATTACTCTTAAGAGATAATTGTAAATTAACCAAATTATAATTATACGCCTAACCAAATAAGAATATTATTTTTTTTTAATGTAAAGTTAATATAAAGTTTTATATCACAATTTTAAAATAAATTTTGAATAGTAAGTCTTATTAATGACATTATATATCATTAAATCTTATTTTGTAAAATAGTTTTCACAAGAGTGCTCAAGATTCAAAATCTATTTTATTCTGAGTTTTCAATCTAATTTTCAGTTGTCTATTTTCTAAATAATTTTTAGAAATTCAAAAATTCAAAACTTGTTTGGTTACAAGTTTTTAAAACTAATTTTAAAATTTTTTGAGTCTTGTGTTTTGTTTTGTCTTGTAGTAAAATTTTTTTACAATATTATAGTCAAATTTGTTTACTTTTCATATACTTAATCTGAATTTACTTTTTAGATACATTTAATCTAATTTAAAGGAAAAAGTTTCACTTCACATTTTTTATAGACGTTTTAAAAATTTTAATATTTCTTTTTCTAGTTTTATATCCACTCAATTTACATACATTTAAAACATTTCACATTTAAATGTAACTTTTTATAAAATTACCAAATAATGAGAAATATATAAAATAAAAAAAAACTAAAAAAAAAAATATTGAACAAGTTTAAAAATTAATACAATTTTAATGTTTTACGTATTTATTATTGGGAAAATTAGTCTAGGGTCCCTCTCCCACTTTTCATAATGGAAGAGATCCACAAAATTACTTTTTGATGTCTAAGGTCCCTAAATATATATCAGAGAAATTTGTCTTTGGTATCTAATTCGGACCTCACTTTGTTCATCGTAATGTCGAACATCTTCATGAGACTCTATTGCTTAATCTAATTTAAAGGAAAAAGTTTCACTTCACATTTTTTTATAGACGTTTTAAAAATTTTAATATTTCTTTTTCTAGTTTTATATCCACTAAATTTACATACATTTAAAACATTTCA